TTCCCTTCAAATTCTACTAGTAAAAAAAAGTTCCACTTGGATAACTTCTTCTCATGGACTGCTCCTTTGTGAAACCGATTCCCAAGAGAGTGCTTTCCTGATTACTACAATCTTAACCTCTTCACATCTCTGGTTAACTGTTATCTTTCTCACATATCCCCATAAACTGTGACAGTTACTCTTGCACAACAACCTTTTTCAGTAATCCTCTACTTTGAAGCTTACAGCCACATCACATTGAGACACTGGTTCCCATATGATCACCAAAGTTAAGCAACATTGAGCCTGGCCAGTACCTAGATGCGTGATGCTTGGGAATACCAGGTGTTGTAAGCTTGGATGTGCAGGTGGTGTAATGGAAAATGTTTGTTAATCAGAGAGCAGTGTTCCATTTCTAGTTGGGTTCTTATATTCACTTATGCACAAATACTCTTGGGAAAGGTATGAATCCACCTTTTAACCCAGCTATGGGTTAATTAGTAAGACTTGTATCACTAAAACAATTATTATCTCCCAAAAAATAAAATTATGTACAAAATATTTAAATTTCAGCATTAAATAACTGATAGTGGCAAGCTCTTCATGTTCTAAAATGTCAAATTCCATGATGGCAAATTTCAATTTTCAGTTTTCCTTTCAAAATCATAAAAACATGTAAAAAAAAAAAAAAAAAACGGAGACTTGTTTGTAAACGGTAAAATATACAAATATTTAACCTACTTATATAGGCATCTTTTTTTCTTTTTTTTTTTTCTTTTTTTTTTAATTTTTTTTTTTTGTGCTTCAGTGATTTCTGATCCACAAGCATGTCTCTCAGAGTCCAATCTATGCTGTGTTGACAAAGACTACAAAATCATTTATCACCCTCATGATAAAAATCATCATGGAAAGCTGGCTCTTCAGCTCTGTATTTTGATAAGTAGGCACCCACCAAGTTTGTTAGCTTTTTGTTTGCTCATCTTGAAAGATAATCAAACCGCCATTTAAAAATCTAATTTAGTTACTAAACAAATAACTTTTATTTTTACTACCCTTGACTGCATGTTGCATGTGACACACTATTCATATGCTAATATCACACATGGATATTTGCCCTGCAGTGACTGGTTTGGCCATGTTAATATCATGAATTAGGTTATGGCCCCATGTTATTTATAGAATAACATGTTGCAGCAATATAGGTCGTAGTATTTGTGCATAAGTGACTGACTTCACTGTGTATTGCAAATTTATGCAAAATAATGATTGTCAAATTCCAGCTCAGGAATTTTACATTTTACAGTCAGAATATTTTACTTTTTAGTAGCAAAAATCCTGTTTTCCATGATTTTCCATTTTCTATTTTATTTGCTTTTTTTTTCTCCATATCACAGGACTTGCCACTCTACCATAGAGGTTGACAAACAACCAACCTTTACCTTGAGTAGCTCCTGGGCCTTGTATAGAGTGAACATTAGTTTAAAAAAAAAAAAAAAAGTTTATAAGGGTAGTACTGAATCTAAAACCTGTCTTATGTGTGTGTGTGTGTGTGTGTGTATATATATATATATATATATATATATATATATATATATATATATATATATATATATATATATATATTTATTTTTTTAAAAATATGATTCCAAATCGCGACATAAGAAGTCCCATTTTCAAAATTTCGCTTGAAGATGGAACAGAACAGTTTATTTTAACTCAATTTAATTTAAATGATTATATTGAAGTTTTTGGCTCTTGTTTTGAAACATGGGACTTATGTCGCGATTTGGAATCATATTTTTAAATAAATAATTATATTTATGCTCTACTTTTGTATCGAGCACTATTTTTAAAAAATAATAACTAAAATACTAAGGGACTTTGGATTATTTACCTAACCAGTTCCTTCCTATTTTCTATATAGTTTCACATATATATATATATATATATATATAGCTGAATTAGAGCCAAGACAGGTAGCTGTAGTTTAGGCAGTGAGGATACTGGGAGAATCACTATTTGATCTTGTAACATACTTATCTCAAAGTCCTAGATAAGATTTTAGTAAAACCTCTCTCTTTCTTTGTCATTATAAGAATGAAATAATACTCATGCACACATGGCATGAATGGGTTTTCTCTTTACCATTTAAGTAGAAGTCACTGGGGCTCGAAAGGATATATTAAAGAAAGGAGGTATGGACATTTGTTTTGGCATTCTTTCTCACACACAGCTTAATCTTTCACTGCCTGTCACTCTTGTTGTCTTTTGTTATGTATTTTTTCTTTCAACTGAATATCTCTAATTTGTCATTCTCCACTAAGTGAACCTGTCCCTGCACAGATTACTACTATTCTGGAAAAGGCTCTGAAACCACAGGTTCCAGTTGATGAGTGCAGTAATTAGTGGATGTCATGAACAGAATTTTGAAATCGAAAAGCTTTCATATTAGAACATGAAAATAAGACAAATATTGGAATCTAAACTATTCAAACATAAAAACATAAGCAATTAAAATCTAATTTTGCTAGCTTTTTTTTATTTATGTTTTGGTGGTACAAATTTCTTAATGTGAATTGTTAGTTTAAATAACTTTATATATATATTAAATAGTTTACCATCAAATTTATGCTAAAATATCTGCATAAAATTATGGGAGAACAGTTTTAGCAATATAACTAGACAAAATTTCTGAGAGTATAAATATTTTAGACTTTTCTCACTCTAAGGACTTTTTCTTTACACACATGCTTTTATATATTTAGGTCAGCATTCCTAACAGCAATGGTTGGAATATTTGACCTCATCCCAAAGCCAATTTAGCTATTTAAGCTTGTCAACAAGCAAACATTGACTCAAAGCAAACTTTGGTAGTAATGTTTTTGTCCTGTCACAACCCTTCCTTTTTCTCAACCACAGTAATTTTTATGAACTCTCTCTTTCTCCCCATTCTACTCTTGCTTTCTCAGAAAAAGATTTATAATTTTTGTTTTTTTCGTAAACTCTTAAATTTCCATATAGAATCACATTTTTCTCTTTCTGCCTGTAGAGTGAGTGTACATTTTTTTTTATAGTTAAATAAAAGAATAATAAATATTTAAGAATGTTTCTCTTATTAATTTTACTTATTTTTATCTCTTTTAATAAAATAAAATTAATTCATTATTTTAGAGTTCCTCATTCATTAGGGCTGAAAAAATAAAAATAATAAATCTGCTTAAATTTGTAGCTACATAAATTCAATTTTACTCTCAATCCTGCCTATGGAAATTTTGTAATGTTAGTTATTTCACTGAAAACTTATATTTAAAAAAGAAGAAACAAAAATAGTAATTTATTTTAAATAAAAATTGATGTAATTTGTTCAACATTCTCATTTGCTCTACTTTTCAATAATTTTCAATTAGTTGATAATTTCTTTATTTACTGAAATCTGAATCATTTCTCTTGATAATTTTTTTTGTCTAATTTATATTTTTCTGTATTTGCATTGAATATATTTTGAAAAGGTATGAATATTGAAATTGTGGCTATATAAATGTTAATTGTTATGATTTTAACTTTCCCTCTGATATTGTTACAGCTGAACATTATCACAAAACATTTCTGCTTTCAAGTTTTTTTTAATAAATAATCTTTGAAACTTCTGTAAACATCTAGCTTTATGAGGGGGCACTGAAAAATTCAGTGCCACCAAGAAATGATTTTAAAACTTCAATTAACACAGAAAGAATTTGATATAGTAATTGTTTTTAAATTTGGTTTATTTAAAAAAAAAAATACAGTATTGATAATTAACCTCAATATAGCCAACAACACTGAGATAGTGTTGATATAGCAGCATTTTTTTTCTATTAGGCACAATGGGTTATTTCCCTTTTTAGTTTCAGAATTAATAAAGTTGGTGAGTTTCCAAATATAAAATTTTCTAAAAATTCCATCTATAGATTGTTAATGATAATTTTCAGTTGAGTAGATATGCAAAGCATTTCTCAGCTTTTACAAATTTCACTCCCATTTTAGTATTAATAATATCAAAAAATATTTCTACCTTCATCCCATTGTTATTTTGCCACAACTAAGTCTCAACTTGAAAATTGGGGGCTGTTTTCACTGGCCAACAATAATAATAAAAATCGCTGTTTGGCCACTTTAATGTCTTTGATTGTTCTGAAACATATGCATGCATAAAAAGTTACCATCCTCACAAGTAATGCAAAATGGTGCTATATGTATCTGTCAAACGATGTATAAACAAAGCTGAACAAAGGCACAACTATTGTAATCATGCCCAAAGCTAGTTCTAGTGGAAAATGATTATTCTTTGTTCTTAGTAAATTATACTTTACATATCTCACTAAGATTTAAATAACAATTGTTTTGTATTCCTTTGCAATGTAGGACTGAAAAACTAAAACAATTGTACAAAAACTACCTACTTTATGACAACAACAGATCATATATTGCAGAGATGATCCATGGACGATTATTGCAGTTTGGTCCATTCTGCTACAATACATGCAACACACACTTTTTTGACTTTGTTTATAATTGACTTTTGGCGCCACCTCCTCTATCCCTGTTGTAGACCTTTTCGAATAGTCAGAAATGTCATCAAAATGACTTTGTCTATAATTTATCAGCATGTTAACAGAAAATGTGTTAAAGTTAATTATATTAATTTTTCTTTCTTAGCAATAATAAAATTTTGACTGTTAAAAAAAAAGTTAAGTAATTTATAGCTTTTTGCATGCTTATAAACATACTGCTAATGTGCAAAATATTTCTTATTTCTAAGAAATAACTCCAATTTTAAGAACTTTAAACCTTTCTGAGCCATATGTTAGACACCAGAAATTATTAATTTTATTAGGTTAAAAATGTAAATTCCTTGTACTATGTGTGTTTTGTAGTTATTTACCATAAATGTTTTAGTAAATTGCTTTTCAGTGAGAAACTATACAAGTCATAATTCCTTTTGCATTTCTTTCCATTTATGATTAATATAAATTCATTTCTAGGGCCTGTTTCCACCTGGTCAAGGAGCTACAATTGGTGTTGACTTCATGATCAAGAGTGTGGAGATAGATGGTGACAAAGTAAAGGTAATAAGCGTTTGTTTTTAACAAAATAAATTATGAAATAATTATTTTTAATTAAAATATTCTCGGTTATTAATTAATGAATTTGAAACTTGAAATGATTTCAGATTTTCAGTTGAAATTGAATTTGTGTGTGTAAAATATATTAGGTCACTTACAATTTGTAAAATGTAACCAATTTTTTTAATATTGAATTTAATTACATATTTACACCACATTTATTCCCATGAATCACAAGTTATTTCAATTTACTTGGACTAAACTGTCTAGCATAATGCTGTATTCTGGAACCAGGTAGATAGTCTAAGATTGCATGTACTTTTATGATTACTTCTAAAAAAAAAAATATCGAGCTACTAAAATGCTCAGCAATCACTAACTAGTGAGGGAAAAACAAGCTGAATATGGAATATCACATGATCTCTTATATTTTTGTTACTTTTTCTTTTATAGTAAGCTAAAGAGCACCATCTTAATTAATATTGCTTTTCTGTTAGGGTTTTTGTTCTATGCAATAGATATTGCAGTATAGCGTGAACGACCTATATGTAAACTAATGTTTATAATTACTAAAGATTCCGTATGAAAAAACAGTGTTGTTTATGTTGAGATTAAAAATGTAACGTCTGACTTGTACAGGGGAGATAAATTTTTTTTTTTTTTTTTTTCTTTCATTTTTTTTGCTTATAATTTAAAGCTTTTTTTTTTTTTTTTTTCTTCTTCTTATTTCACCCCAAGCAAGGCAATAAAGCCACTAAAATGCAAGGAGTTACTGAGTGTTATGGAGAATGAGAAAAATATACTGTTAAGGAGAGAAGACAATAAAAGAACAAGACAGAAGATAACTATTTACATTGCATTTAAATTTTTGAAGATCAACGTTGACAGAGAAGCAAGAAGCTGGAAGCTCTTCTTTATATATATATATATATATATATATATATATATATATATATATCTGGTGTTTATTTATATGCTTGGTTTTCAGATCTCTTTATTAGACTGAGATTGGTTTTAAATATTTGATTTAAAGAAACTTTTGAAAGTAAAAATCTGTGTTTTTTGTTGTAGGAATTAATATTCTTTTATACATATATGATTCTTGTCAACTTCCTATTCATGCTCTCTAATTTAAAAGTATGGCTCTGCTAATAATAGTAACAAGTTTATTTGTAAAACTAAGTAAAGCAAATTTTGATAGTTCTATTTATAAGAAATACCTATTAATACTGTACGAATTTACACACTATGAAGATATATTAAAGAAATGTGAGTAGATAAAAAGAATTTAATATTTTAAAGTGCAGGCTATAACAGCAACAATAACTAAAATCCAGTAAATTATAGTATTTAATGAATTAAAATTATCAGTTAATAATTGATTCTTGATCAACTTTGAATTTTTTAGTAATCTCAGATTTTTCCATGGTATATTAACTAAATTTTAAATTGGTTGCTGAAATTTTTCCTAATGTGATCTACACTACAAGTACAGAAATGATAGCTGAACTTTGTTTGGCTTAAATTTCAATATTTTATATTTGAAATAGTCTGATGTAGATCTCTCTATTTCCAGAATAAGCTTAAGAATAAAGCACAAATTTCAGTTATGAAGAGTAAAAGATTTTTTTTCTTAGATATATAACTTAAACATACAATTTATTTTATAAAAGTCTTTAAAACTTTTACTGTTACCAGTTATTGTGGGCATTTATAAAAAAGCAGTCAGACTTATGAATATCTCTGAGCCTAATGAGAATGATCTTCCTCAATTCTAAGAAATTCATACAAAGTATGACTCAAATTTATTTAGGTCAATTATCCAAATATAAAAAATGCAGTGTGAGTGAGACACACTTTTCCCAGACAAGATACTACACTGATTTTAAAAAGAAATGCATCTAATCCTAGAAAAAAGTACCAATCCATATGTAAATAATCCCATAATTTTTATGAGTACTAGTTATAAGAATGCTTTTCTCATTTCTAAATTTGTTGAATATTCTCTATCATAAAACATTTTTCTCTACAATCAAATTAAGCATATTTGCTTTTGCAAAAAGCTGAAAGTGAGAATAAAAATTCTATAAAAACTAGTTTAACAAACAATAAAAAACAAATAGCTTGAAACTGATATACAGTGCCCAGTAGAAATGCCTCCCACATACTATATATAATCATGTAATGCACAATGTTTATTTTAAATATAGCTGTACTTTTTGAGTAAGTGGATATATAGTTTGGTCAACTGCGTAGCCAGGGCCAGCTGTACATACACTAATTTTATATCTCTTGTATGATGTGACCCCTGTAAAATTAGCTTCAAAATTAGGTCTTCAAAAGTCACATGATATGCAAGTATATAAAGTATAACTCTCACATAATGGTAAGACAGTGTCTATGGTGTCTTCATCTAGCTAATGTCTTACCATTATGTGGGAGGTATTTCTGACACACTCTGTATGATTGGCTTAAGAAATAAAATAATATAATTTTAAAGGCATCTTTCAGTGTATCAGAATGGAAAGTAAAAAAAAAAGAAATAATCCTTTCTTAAGAACTAGATTAAACAAGTTTATGAATAATTTTAGAGCTGTTAAAAATTACTTTTCTCATCAAAAGGTTAAAAATGTAATGCCTTTAAAAACAAATTTTTCAATATATCAGAATAGAAAATTAAAAATTATGAATAAATTAAAATTAATTTATTTTTAGTAGCTAAATCATATTGGAACATTTCCTTAAAAATATCTTCCCAAACTGTACTGCATTGGAAGTATACTTTTTATATATACCATATATACTCTCATATTGTAACTTTTGAAAGCTTAATTCTGAAGCTAATTTTTAGGGTGTCACATCATACACAAGATATAAAATTAGCGTATGTAATGTTGGACCTGGCTACACTGTTAACCAAACTAAATATCCAGTTACTGTAGTCATAAAGTACAGCTGTATTTAAAATAAACATAATTTTGATAAAACTGTTTTACTTAACTGTCTACAATAATAATGCATGTAATATTCACGTTAGTATCGTATTATAAAATACAAACATAGCAGAAATGCATTTTTTTTCCATTTGTTTACATTTATAAGATGTTTAGCTGTTTCTCGTTCAGGTGTTTATGGCTGTACATGTTTACACAATAAGTATAGCATTACTAACAATACTTTTATCATTCTCTTCGATTTTTTTTTTTTTTTTTAACTTATTTAACTAGAAGATGGAATAAAGAGATAGAGGAAAAGTGGTTAGTCTATTGTTTTTTGGTCTCTTAAAAAAGGAACTCACGTGATACAATCATTTTTTATAAGTAAAAATTTGAGGGTTGCACAATACTCAAAATCATGAATTACATGAGTATATACAGTATATTTTTCTTTCTGTATTGAAATGTTGTTAATGTATTTTTTTAAAATCTTTTTATTCAGCTGCAAATCTGGGATACAGCTGGCCAAGAACGTTTCCGCTCTATAACCCAATCATATTACAGATCTGCCAATGCTCTAATAGTAGTTTATGATGTGTGTTGTCAAGCTTCCTTTGATAGTCTTATCCAGTGGATAAATGAAATAGAAACACATACAAATAGTAAAGTGTTAACTTACTTAGTAGGTAAGTATAGCGTATCTGTTTGTATTCATCTTTAATATACTAGTTAAAATAGCTTTGATAGTTGTCTGTATTTCTAAACCTGGATGTTTTGGTTAGTCTGTATTGTTGAGGATTATTGCCTAAGTTGAGTCAAGAAAAAAATTAAATAACTTTATAAAATGATGTATGTTTTCTTTTTACTATTTTAAAAATTATTAATGACTACTTGCAAAAAGCAATTTTTAACTATATAGCTTATATTGGTTATCTAATAAATCAATAGGTATTAGTGAATATACATTGTATAGGAATAAAACTGCTAAAAACATTTAATGTGATGTCAGCATGTCAAAATTTGAATAAATATTTTATTTTTACTTTTGTTGATGAAGCTGTTTAAGGATGTGCACTATAGTTTATTATGCTTAAATGGATTACACTGACATTGGACATAGGCTGAACTGGCCAGAAAAGTGATACATTTGTTAAATTTTATACTGATTTTTTTTTTTTTTTTTTTTTTTCAAAATGATAATGTTAATCTGACAGAATTTGAAGAGAAAAAATAACCTTAAAACCTACATCTAATTAAAAAAAAAATATATAAAAATCATAACTGGTTCTGTGTGACTTTTTGTAATTTTAGCCAAACACTGATTAAAAGGAATTAAATATTTTTGGTTAAATTTTAACCATAAATACAATAGAAGAGCTTGAATTATTTTTATTTGATATATTCACTTTTAACATTTGAATATACTTTATTTTGTAAACCTATTTATGCTATCAGACTCACAGAAATGGACTTTTGTGTTACAAAAGTTATAAAATATAAGAAAAATACTTCGATAGTATATTGTATATAATTTTACTTTCAAAATAAACTTTTTCTTTAAAATTAAAAAAAATATTTCTAGTATAAAAATAATTTTTTTGTCATGATTCTTATTCTAAAAAATATTTTGAACAAATTATCATATAAAGAAAAAAAAATCCAATTATTATATAAAAATGTTCCATTTGATTAAATTGTAGATGTGAGGAACAAATTCACCACAAATGACTCATTGACTATTACATCATTGATCAGGTTCCCAATTTAGCTAAACTAAGTGCATTTGAATAAAAACCTTAACACAATCTGGTCTCTCTAGGTTCCTTCAAGTTGTCTTACCTTGAGTGAAATGATTTATCTTTTATAGATTTACTATGGCAACAATGCTGTGTATATACAAATGTTATAAATCTACAAGTAAGCTTTCAATTTTTACATAATTAATTTGTGTTAAGTGATTAATAGAATCAATATGATCAGATGCTGAAATCTTGTTACAGTATGTGTATGCTAGTCCCAAATTTCAAAACCCTACCCTACTGGTCAGAACTTTGATGACCTAAAACTATTGAACCTTGTAGGCATGAAATCCTGACTCTGATTAATTTAATAAAAGACTGAAAAATATATGAAGACTGTCAGTACTGTTGCAGCAACAGACAAGAGATGATGCCTTTCACTCAGATTTTTTTTATCTGCTGTGGTGTCATTAATAATACAAGATACCACATGGTGATTGGTAACTGGCCAACTTGTTAATATCTATCCTATCTATCTCCCTCTATCCAAGAAATGAAGCTACTACTACATCCCTCCCAACATTAAAATAAAGGATGTAAAAAGAAATCTAAAGAAAATTATCCATCATTCCTTCAGTCTGTGATGTAGCATTGGAGTCTGAGGAATTGCTGATAGTCCATAAAAAGTCAGAAATGACATGCAACACAACAATCTGACCAAACATCAGATATTTTCTTTTAATTCCTTCTTGGTGAAGCCAAGAACTTTTCAGCACTCCCTCATAGATAATTACAGTGAATCTCTGTTCTTTCAGATTGTTCATTGAAGCTTTGACTGCAAATAATCCTAAGATTGTTCAGATTAAAAAATAATTAAACTTCATTTCATAATTACAATTACTAGAAAAATATTTACCCAAATTTGACTACACATATTTTTCTACATTATTCTGTTAACTAGTGAACAAAATAAGGCCAGAACTTTCAATGAATTGTATGTACATTGAACTTAACTCTTAAAATGCAGTGATTGGCTGTATCTAATAAAATCTGGTGAAAAAAAAAAATCTTTGTAATTAATTACAAGAATTAAAATAAAAAATATTGATATAGGTTTCAGCCTGTAACCCATTAATGACCACCATCTCAAAAAGGAACCTGTGGGTATCAATAGCTTAACTTCTTTTAAACTTATCTACTCTTCAATCGTACAATCGGGTCACATCAGCTTAAGCCACAACTTTGTAATTATTCAGTTACATACACCTTTCTCGTTCAGTTAATGCAATATATATATATATATATATATATATATATATATATAAAATGTGTGTGCAGCTCTTGCATTAACTGAACTAGAAATATATTGTAACTGAATAACTATAAGTGTAAAATAGGAACTTGCCAGTTTTCCAAATAGCAGTAACTGAATTTTGCATTAATTCAATTAGCATATAGTGCTGTTTGCCTGTAAATTTTCTTTTAGCTTTCATAAGATGACTGTTCCATTCCTGATTATAAATTTTCTTTAGCTACTGTTGTTAGGTTAAAATATTAGGTTAGTAGTTAAATTCTAATTTGGTATTTTTGATAGGTACATATAGTCAAATATTTATTTTACAGCTAAAAGTACAATTTCAAAATCAAAGTAGATTGAATAGAAAGGTTTGAACCAATAACATTTTGGACAAAGTGCTAAGACAAATGTAAAACAAAATATTGACTTCTAGAGATGAGTATTGGTATATTTCTATGGAACAATCTGCTAACAAGTGTCACAACAGGTAGAGTGAATGCTAGATTTTAATTAGACTAATATTTACTTTCTTACTCATTAACTCTCAATTGTCTCTAACTTTTATTCTATTTTATTTCAGGTAATAAAATTGATCAGATAAATAGAAGAGAAATTCCAACTAACATTGGACAACAATTTGCTGACAGATACGAGATGACTTTTCTGGAGACCTCAGCCAAAGAAGCTGACAATGTAGAAAAGCTATTCTTTGATATTGCACGAGAACTGACAAAACAGGCCAAGGCACATGAGCTTCGGCCCCACAATAACAAAGCCTTTCCATCGGGTGAGACCACCCCAATATCTAGTTACAATTGTTGCCGAACATAGACAAGCATTTTTTTTTTCTTTCCCATCTTGGCGCCTCCCTATGTCTTCTTCACTAGTTGTTGTTGGCTATGGCCAACCAGTAAAACCTTTACTTAAATCTTTAGCTCTTTTGTTTTATCTGTTCATCAGTTTTGTGACTTAAGCTCACACCTAAATGGAACCAAGGCTGAATGAATAGAGTGCTGCTCTCAGTACTTATGACTCTTCTTTCTAATTACTATTACTCTCTCTTCCTCACCTGACAAAGATATATATTTGCTCTTTTCCTTCTCAGCTGTTAGCTGTCCATGTTCATTATACACTTTTGATCTTACTACTACTATTACTACGGCGGCGACTGTAGCAACTCTGCTTCCTCCTGCTGTGATATTTATTGGATGTCAGCAAACTATTGACATTGCTATGGCAAGAAGAGGCTTCATTCTGTGTACACCCACACAATATTAATACTCACACAGATCTACATGTAATCTCTTAATACAAACAAAAAGTTTTCTTTTCTCATCTTGGTCAACTTAACCCTTCACACTAAGCCCAATAACAAATAGGTGATGTTTTAAGTTCTGAAATTATTTCCATCTTGTTAAAGTTAATTTTCCATGTTTTAGTTTATTTGAATTTTGTGAGGCAGACCCGTTTTTCTACACACACACACACACACACACTTCTGTAGATCCCATGTTTAAATAAGGTTGACCTAGATGTAAACCAACTGTACACCATTTGAAGTCTTGTCAACTTATATTGAAGATGTATTTCTTGATGTCTCCATTCCATTTGCTACTATGTGAATGATATAAATGAGCCTAAGTCGTGTCACCTGGTGATGATCAGAAAATATACTGACTGGGCATTGTGAAAATAAACAATAAAAATGAGGGTAACAGCCTATAAGAATTTCTAAGGCTATACTAACTTCTGATAGATCAGTGCAATCAGTAATAAGTGTGTGGTAAGTTTGAGCACACGGTTATTGTGCATTTTGTAATTAGTATTTTCTCCTTTGAGAAGATACTTGTAGAAACTGCATTAAATATAAAGCTCATTTCTCCTTTTTGGTGGTAAACTTTGAATATCGATGTATAACAGCCCTTGAAGATCAGAGATTACCCCTTAAATATTGTGAAATCTGTCTTTATTAAAAAAGTGCACAATCTGATATGATCATCTTACTAAATGTTTGACAATTTATCATCTCATAATTACAGAATATTCATTAATAATTAATATTGTCATTAATTACTACTGCTGCTTGTTGGTTTGGGGATTCCATCATTAGGAAGGTATACCAGCAACTCATTTCTTTTCCCAATCATAAGAAGGGGAAATATTTTTTCTTGGAAAAATAGTAATGTTTTCTATGCCAGTATAATACCTCATAACACATTCATAAAATTGGCTTTATCATAATAACAGCTTAAAGAATATGAAATTTAGCATAATAAAAGCTAATGTGTTTTCTCAGCAATCAAGTAATGATAATTGTTGAATTAGCATTGTTGTTGTTGTTTGCAGTTAGTTGTTTATACTTTAATAATATAATTTTGTTAGGTTAGCTTGCATTGAATAATTTTTCATTATTTACTGAGAAACTCATTCATTGAGGCTTTTAGCCAATTTGCTAAATCATTTTTTCTCTTAGTGTAAATATTAATATATATAAAAAAAAGTCATTAAATTTAGTATTAACAAAAAAGGAAGACTGAAAAGAACCTGCAAAATTGTCAGTATTGTTTGTATATGCTTTATAATTAAGTTTTGAATACAGTATTTTTTAAAGTATTTCAATAATCACACACACATGCACACACACAAATTTAAAACTGTTTTTTTTTTATCACATTTCTTTCCAATCTCAGAAAGATTTGATAAATTTAATGTTTTTCAAATGATTTACAAAGTAATGTTAAATTTGTACTTTATTTCCACTATACACATTTTTAGTGTGCATTCATTTAATGTTTATATTTAACAGCTCTTGACTTGAAATTTACATACAATAAAGTTTGAGTTTTTTTGTTTTGTTTATTTTTTTTTTTTGTGCATGAAATATTGAAACACCTGAAACAAAGCTTAAAAAATGGTCCAACTTCATGTGAAAGACAAACTATATTTTACCACAAGGATGATTTTGTTAAATCTATCTGGCAGTTTTTTATGAGACTCTCAAGCAGTGTTAATCTCACTGACCTGATTTCAAAGTCAAATTTGATGAGGCTTAAACAAATTTCTCAAGTGTTGTTAATATCTGGTTTGAAGGAAAGTTCTCATGGTCTGTAGATAGAACTTTAAATTTATTTAGAAACTGTGAGAACTTTCTTCTAACCAAATAGATTTGAGTGCTTAAAAAAAAAAAAATCTGCCATACTTAAGTTGTTTCCACACACACACACACACACACACACACACAGTTCAATTTACACTGCCATAAACCTTTCCAAATTGATTGCTTTGTCAACTAAATATCTGCCTCATTTTTGTTTTCAACTTAAAAACAAGGAGTCTGTGTTAAATGCAACTAAAACTAGTCATTGATTCTCACTTTTTTTCTTTTCTTTTGAGAAATTTTTATTATTCCTGATTTATTTCAGCTTTAGTATTTTTTATTCAATTTTTTCCTTTTTATTTTATATTTTTCTATAATAAACCCAAGCCTGCTAGTCGACCATATTTACACACATGGCATATAATAAAACTGTTACTCTATTTTTTATGAAAAACATTTATGCATCTGTCAGTATTACTTTTCTTATTTTCTTTTACTTTCATCAACCTCTGAAAAAAACTAACATTTTTGTTTGTACCAATTTTTGACAACTAGCAAAAGTGATTTTTATATGTCACTCTGTCCACACAGTCAAATATTCCCCACCCAAAAGATGCATAATCCTTCAAGTGTAATCTGTCATACGAATGCAGAATTAGTCACATTTTATATATAAAAGGGCCAGCTTTATCATTGTAAAACAATTTATCTTTTGTCTTTAAAGATATTTTGTGCAATTACAAAATCTTTTACATTAAGGAAAAACTCAGCCTGCTGCCTCTTTGTGTCTGGCTGCCTTGCAAGTCATTCCTGTGCTTATATTTCAATATGCAAGTCTGGGCCATAAATGGCCAAAGCAAAGCTCTTGCTCGCTTATTTACATCAAGAATATATGTGACCACCATATAACAACCACATCTTCCTGGCCATATTGTATAATCCAATATTCAAGCTAAGCATTCCTTTGTTTATGTATTACACAATGCTAGCTTCATGATAACATACACCTGCAATGTACTATCAACTGAATATCTTCTAGTCACTTGGCCTGGTATCTTTTATTTTTATCTCAGCCAAGTCCGCATTCAGCATATAAAATTGTAATGGTATAAAAACATTAACTCATGTTTATTATTTCATTCACCTCTTTGTCGAGTAAATTCTTTGTTGCTTTTGTTATTTGAATTGTGTGTGCCAGGTAATCACACTGTCTCTATGAAAAATGTCCAAGCTGTTCATATTGGCTATTTGTGGATATAAAATGTCTACCAACCAAATGCTCCAGTTGGGCTTATATTAATACTGCTCTGTAATTTGGCTATAACTTAATAGATGTAAAACTTTCTTTAAAATTTTTATTTTTTTTTTTTATTTGAAATATTATCAAAATTATGGTAATAAATTATAAATGTTAAACTTTTCAAGAAAAAATACTCATTTTTGCTAGTTTCTGTTTATTTGTTTTTTTTCTATCTTGTTTAGCCAGAAGTATAAGTTGAAACGGTCTTCAGTTTATGAATTTTTTTTTTTTTTTTCTGAGTTGTTTTGATTTTAATTGAATTTACACGCAAATGAAATAAAAGAATTTAAACTTTTTACTCTGTAATTTTTCTTATATTTTTAAAAAATTTATACATTGCTATTTTCATTTAACTGTTCCTGGTTTTAATAAAACATGTTCTTATAAATTAATCCCAAGAATTTAAAATCTTGCTCAACTTTCTATTATGGCATTATTTATTTTATCTTTGTTTAATTCTGGGAAAAAATTATTTTTTCAGGATGGACCCTAAAACAATAAAATAGAAAATGATCATGAGTATAAGGATGATAAAACAAAGATTGATTTACTTTTGCCAAGTATCATTGTCAGACTAAAAATTTTGCAAACATTCAAAATCAATGAAAAAAAATGTTGCACTGTTTGATATATTCTCCAAGACTGTCTATTCACCCAAATGTAAATTTTATCATATCATAAATTGAAACAGATTGTTGGCTTTGAATGCAACATTCCACTTTACTCTAGTTTATCACAAATATTAGTGAATGAATATTTTGAAAAAGTTTTTTCTTCTCTTGTATTCGTTTCATTTTGTATTTTTTTCTTAAATCTCAAATATATTTATTTTTCACACTTGAAAAGATTAAATGAAATAAGGGAGGTAATTTGTCAAGCGTTTAGTGCGAATGTAATTTAAAAGTAAATATTTGTTCATGGTGCATTCCTGCTTAAAGTCCTAAATTGTTTTCAGCAAGTTTTTTTTTTTTTTTTTTACTTATTGGCCAAGGCTACCTTCTAAAATGTTAATGAAAGAAATATTATTGAAAAACTAATTTTATTTAACTTTACGATTAAACATTGGTTAGTTATTTTTAATAGACTTTAATTGCAATAATTTTGTTACAGACGATTAACACAGTTGTAATACACAGCATACAAAAATCTGTGTTGCATATTACAAGTAATGATGTAAACAAAACGATTATTTTTCAGAAATTATAATGTTAATTATAATAGTCTGTGTAATATGATAGACAAAAATGAATTTTTTTTTTTTTTTTTTCTTTTGGGTAGATAAATACTGCATTAATAATTTAACTAAAATCTTCTAACAATCTTAGTAATTAATTGACTAGCTTTGTTTATATTTTATATGGAATTTTTAAAATCTAAAGATGGCATGAGTACAGACTTTTTAAAGTATCTAAATGTAATTTTTTTTTTTTTTTT